ATAACATAGAATAGTTCATACATCAACAACCAAATACACTTTCTTCTCAGCAGTACATGGATCCTTCTCTAAAACAGATCATACTTAGGTCACAAAGCAACTCTTAGCAAATACAACAAAATAGAGATAATACCTGCATTTTGTCAGATCATAAGGGAATGAAATTAGAAATGAATGATAAAATAAGAAATAAAAGTTACTCTTAACAACTGGAAACTAAATAATACACTATTAAATGACCAGTGGAAATGTGAAGAAATCAGGGATGAAATTTAAAAAATACTTACAGGTGAGAATAGTGATATAATATATCAAAARTCTGGAACACTATGAAGGCAATACTAAGAAGAAAATTGATTGCATTGAGCTCATTCATTAAAAGAATAAAAAGTCAACAAATAAATAACCTAACATTACATCTCAAAGCTCTAGAAAAAGAAGAACAAATAAATACCAGAAGCAATAAAAGACAGGAAATAATGAAAACTACACCTGAAATCAATGAAATTAAAACAAAAAAAATCCAAAAAATAGACAAAACAAAAAGTTTGTTCTTTGAAAAAATGAATAAAATTAATAAACCCTTAGCCAAGCTAACAAAGAGAAATAGAATACTCAGATTACTAAAATTTGTGATACAAAAGGAAATAACACAACAGACACTACTGAAATACAGACTACATTCAGAACTTGTTTTGAAAACTTAAATTCTAATAAAATATAAGATCTTGGAGACATTGACAAATTTCTATAGACATATGACCTACCCAAATTGAATCAGGAGAACATCGAACATCTAAACAGATAAATTGCAAGCAATGAAATTGAAGACATCATCAAAAGTCTACCAACAATGAAAGTCCCAGGACCACATGGATTCTCAACTGAGTTCTACCAGACCTTCAAAGAAGAATTTACACCAACATTCCTCAAATTATTCTATGAAATAGAAAAGAAGGGAACCTTTCCCAACTCATTCTATGAAGCCCCCTAATACCAAAACCAGACAAAGACACATCAAGGATAAATAACTTCACATCAGTATCCATGGTGAACATAGATGCAAAAATTCTTAATAAAATATTGGTAAATTTTATACAAAAACATATTTAAAAGATAGTGCACCATGATCAAGAGGGGTTCATCCAAGGGATGAAAAGTTGGTTCAACATACAGAAATCAATGAATGTAATTCATCACATCCATAGACTTAAAAGACAAGAATCACATGATTTTCTTAATAGATGCAGAAAAAAGCAGTGGACAAAATACAGCATCCACTTATTTTCAAAACACTAGAAAAATTAGGAATAGTAGGAACATATCTCAACATTGTAAAAGCTATATATGGTAAAACAATGCAAATGTCATTCTAAATGGAGAAAAATTGAAAGCTTTCCCTCTAAAAACTGAAACAAGGCAGGGATGCCCTCTTTCATAACTTCTACTCAATATATTCCTTGAAACTCTAACCAGAGCAATTAGAGAGAAGAAGTAAAAGGGATACAAATAGGAAAAGAAGAGTTAAACTATCCCTACTTAGTGACAACATGCTTATATTTAGAACAACCCCCMAAAAAATTGCCCCAGAAAACTTATAGATCTCATAAATTAATTTAGCAAAGTAGCAGGATATAAAATTCACACCCATAAATGAATTGCTTTCCTATACATCAATGATGAATCTACTGAAAAAGAAATTAGGAAAACTATTCCATTCACAATAGCCTCAAAGAAAATAAAATATTTGGSAATCAAAATTACAAAAGAGGTATAAGACCTCTACAATGAAAACTAGAGAAATGCTAAAGAAAGAAATTGAAGAAGACATTAGAAGATGGAAATATCTCCCATGCTCTTGGTTAGGCAGTATTAATATTGTTAAAATGGCCATACTACCAAAAGTGTTATACAAATTCACAGCAATTCCTATTCAGGTACTGATGATGTTATTCATAGAAATAGAAAAAGCAGTCATGAAATTCATTTGGAAAAAGTAAGAGGCCCAGAATAGCCAAAGTTATGCTTTGCAAGAGAAGTGAAGTAGGAGGCTTTATAATACCAGACCTTAAATTATACTACAAACATATAGTAATAAAAACAGCATGGTATTGGCACTAAAACAGACATGAAGACTATAGTACAGAACATAAAACACAGAGAGAAATCCACATAAATACAGTTATCTCATACTGAACAAAGGGTCCATACATATGCATTGAAGAATAGATAGCCTCTTCAACAAATGGTGCTGGGAAATCTGGAAATACATTTGTAATAAAATGAAATTAGACCTCTATTTCTCACCCTGCACAAAACAACATGCTTCATGGACCTACACATTAGAAAAGAGACCCTGTGCCCTCTAGAAGAAAAAGTAGGCCCAACTCTTTATCATATCTGCTTAGGAACCAACTTCCTCAATAAGACTCTTGAAGTGTAAGAAATAAAATCAAGAATCAGTGAGATGTGTCAGACTAAAAAGTTTCTTCAAGTAAAGGAAACAATCAGGACATGAAGAGAGAGCCTACACAGTGCGAGAAAATCTTTGCCACCTGCACCTCAGGTAGAGTATTAATCTCCAGGATATATGAAGAACTCAAAAATCTTAACACCAACAAAACAAATAACCCAATCAGTAAATGGGCTAAAGAACTGAACAGGCACTTCACAGTAGAACAAATATAATCAGTCCACAAATATATGAAAAAGATTTTCAACATCACTAGCAATTAGAAAAATGCAAATTAAAATGACACTGAGATTTCATTTCATTCCAATCAGAATGGCAATTATCAAGAATACAAGTAATAATAAATGCTGGTGAAGATGTGGTGAAAAAAGGTCACCTATATATTGCTGGTGGGAATGCAAATTGGTGAAACCACTCTAGAAAGCAGTATGGAGATTGTTCAGAAAACTTGGAATGGAACCACCATTTGACACAATTATCCCACTCCTTGACATAAATTCAAAGGATTTTAAATCAGCATACTGTAGTGATGTGGCCACAGTGTTCATTGCATCTCAATTCACAATAGCTAAATTATGGAATCAACCTAGGTGCCCTTTAATAGWTGAATGGATAAAGAAAATACATAATGAAATATTACTCAACCATAAAAAAACAATGAAATTTGCCAATAAATGGATGTAACTGGATACTATCATGCTAAGGCCAAATATTCTCTCTGATATACAGATGCTGACTCATCATAGGCAGTGAGGAAGGGAAGAAAGGGGGTTACTGGATTGGACAGGGGTGAATGGTGGGAAGGAAGGGCAGATTAAAAACAACAGAATGAATCAGACATAACTTTCCTGTGTTYATATATGAATACGTGACCAGTGTAACTCCACATCATGTACAACCACAGGAATGGGAAGTTATATTCCATGTATATATGATATGTGAAAATGCATTCTACTGTCATGTGTAACTAAAATGAACAAATTGAAAATAAAAGAAGAATTAGTCTTATTACTTCATTAACACATTTTATCAGGTTAGGTGTGCAAATGTAATAGTTGTCATTTATGTATAATTATTTGTATTGAAACCTAAATGATACATCATTTTATTATGTTTATTATTTTTAATAAAATAAAGTAGGCTTGCTACAGATTTGTCTTCATAAAACCACATTTTGGAACATCTTATAAATAAATGGGATTTACTACTTTAATAGCAGTCTTCAATAAAGATGTATGAAACATTTTCAGTAAATGAATAATCTTGCATTTTCAAAATTAATTCATTGCTATTGGGATTAAATTATTTTGAATAAAACTAAAAAGTATATTAGATATGGTACATTATATGGCATATAATATTTATTAATTTATTCTTCAGATATTTATTAGACAGTCACTCTTCTGGCAGTCTGTTAAGGTGCAGCAGTAATTGAGTTACACATAGAGTGTGCCCATAGAATACTTTTCCATATGCTTTGGTTAAAAAAATTAAATAATGCTGTGGGAGTACGAAAGAGAGTCTCTTTGGTACTGAGAATGCTTCTTAGAGTAGTGCCTATGTAGAATCTCAAAGAGATGACAAGGGGTTTATTAATGTCTGATGAAAGGGTAATTCTGAAGACAGTCTTAAGACAGAGGGAATTGTGGAGAGATGACATTGGTTTTTAAAGTTGGGTGGTTACCAGAAAATATAATATTTTAAAAATCAAGTTATTCTGATTATCTGGGTTTGGTCAGTCATTGGACTTTTGTCCATATTTGTTTACATATGCATTTTTGAACTGACCTGCCATATTAGTCAGCTTGGACTGCCATAACAAAATGCCATAAACTATGCATCTTAAACAACAGTAATGTGTTTTCTGTCAGTTCTGGAGTCTGGAAGTCTAAGATCAGAGTGTTGGCTGATTTTATTCCCAGTGAATTTCTTCCATCCTCCTTCTCAGTGTATCCTTACGTGGAAAAGACAGAGTTCCGATGCCTTCAAAAAAGCCCAATCTTCAAAGTCAATTTTATTGGAAGTTAAGGCTTCAATATATGAATTTTGTGGGGGAAACGTWCATTCCATAGCATCTGCCTTTAACACAAATGTCTTTAACAGTCGTGGGAAGATTATGTCAATATGTAAGAGAACTTGTTAGCAATGAGTTCTTTTAAGTACTGATTGCACCACTGAACTCACCAATTAGTTCTTTGTAGATATTTATTCTTTATCCCAAAAATGAGGATTATACTGATTGATTTTATTTACTTAGGAAAATGGAGGGACAGGGTGAAAACAGATATTCTACTGGTATTTTTTCTGCAATCAAAAAGTTTTGCCAGCATTGTTTAAGATAGTTCATTAATAGATATTTTTATATATTTCCAAATATTTTTGAAATTTTTAATTTTAATTTTATTTTTTATTTTTTGCTGGGCTAGGTATTGAGTGCAGAGCCTCACATATGCTAGGCAAGTGCTCTATCACTAAGCTACATTCCTACCCTGTCTTATTTTAAATCTATTTTTTATTTGTTTTTTAGGACCTTTTGGCTGTGGGCTATGGGCACTTTGGATTTCGAGAGCAAAAAAGAGGATTGGCTTGCTGCTGGTCAATAAAGAATCCCATGGTAACCCAAACAGAAATAATAATCATGTTTAATTATTTAAATGTTGACAAAATTCTCATAAAGTTTATAATTTATATAATAAATAAACTTCAGAAAATTTTGTTAGGATTTTTTTCTTCATTTTCATTGGTTTATCTCCATAATAATTAAAATATGTTTTTGATTATATAGGGTAAAGGGAATTCATTCATGAATTCATTTAATAAATATTTATTGAGCATCTTATATATGCTGTTAGATCTGATGATGCATAATTGAACCAGTATTAATTATATAATCACAGCTAATTATAAAGAAGAATGAATATACAAATGAAAATTCTTAAAAAATTAAACATTTCTTTTTAGACTTAATTGTTTCTTAACATTATGAATCGGTCTTTATCACATGACCTCTGCTATCCTCAATAGATATAAAATAAGTTGACTTTCTTATTGTCATTAATTTTAAAAGAGAATAAGTAAGAATCATGGTAATCTGTTTTTCTAAAAAAGGCCTAGTCAGTCTGTTACTTTAGTTTTAATTCCAAACTGAAATCTAAACTGGGAGAGGTGGCACACATTTGTAATCCCATTTATTCAGGAGGATGAGACAGGAGATTGCAAATTTAAGGCCAGTTCTAGCAATTTAGCAATACTCTGTCTCAAAATAAGAAAATGAAAATGTGAGTAGCTCAGTAGCTCTGTAGTAGAGTACCCCGTATTCAATCCCCAGTACAAAATAAATAAAAAGCAACTGAAATGCAGAGTGGAAAATTTAGAGAAGTGTTTAAAGAGTATATAAAAAGTGGTTATTTTTTTCTAAATAACCCCAATCTGTCAGGACACTAAGTTTATATAGCATAAAAGAAAAAAGCAAATTGTTCTAAATATGGAAGGATCCACAGAGAATTTATCAGTAACTTGTCTTCTTTTCCACATGTGTGGTTAGAAAGAGGACAGAATTTAGATTACACTGGATGGACTTGTGCAGCAGAGCAAATTAGAATGTTTTGGTGTATTTTTCTATGTTAGATATAATAGGTAACACAGGTCTAAAATAAATACTGGAATACAGAAATATATGCTAGATGATTTGTTACCCATTATGTGTTTCCATAAGAAGGTAGATATGTGATGCTCATAGTAATCCTGCTGAAAGAATACCAAAATACTATAGTATTATAGAATCCAGTGACGCATTTATTAAAGATATCAAGTACGATTGATTCATACTTTGATAAAAATAAAACTATTTTATTTTTATCTATAATAGAGTCAGGAAGACAGGAGTAACTGAATGTGGACTGATTTTTTTCACCTCCCTACTGCTACCAGATTAGTCTCTGCCACCATCATATCTTGCCTTACTATCTATCATCTATGAAAACAAGTTTAAAATATAATTATTTCTTTATTCAGTGGCCAGAACGCATTTATCAGAGTCCATATGGAGTTACTGCTGTGGATTTTTCAATTGGAACACCTAACCTGCTAGCAGTTGGCTATCACAATGGCACAATTGCAGTTTATAATGTACAGAGCAACACAGATGTTCCAATTCTGGATAGTAGGTGAGAATATAAGAATTAGGTAAATATACAATACATACTTTTTCAGGAAGACTTACTCTAATGTTATTTAGTTTTAAGTGAATATTTGTGTTATTGAAATTTCTACTGTTATTTCTGAAACATGTAATACTTCTTCATGCTCTCCATCTGTATTTCTGTTTCCTATTTCAATTATCTCCTTCATCTTTTTCTCTCCCACCTCACCAACAAATTTATTTCAGCCTAACAATTTATTGTTATTCTTAAACAATTGCTTCAGGCCATCTTCTCCAGGAAGGCTTCTCATTCTTTCCTTCTGTGTGTACTATACATATCTTCATTATGGCCCTTGTCACACTGTATACACATTATTTGTAAATAGATTGATAGATAGATAGATAGATAGATAGATAGATAGATAGACAGACAGATAGACTTCCCAAGATTATGTATAAACTCCTCAATAGTAAGGATTGAGTCTTACCTTTGTAGTCTCAGTATGTCACAGAATATCAGGCATGGAACAGCAGAAAGTAAATGAATGATGAATGAGTGAGTTATGTTGAAAAAATGAGAAAGTTAAAGATGAAAATTTTTCAAATTGGTTAAGTTTTTTACTAGACAAGTACAACCTAAAAATGGTATACTTGTAATAATGTTTGAATAACTTAGTTAGAATGGGAAATTGTCATTAAAGCAAAGGTTTTGAACCTTAACTTTGAAATTATTTTCATAATTTTGTAAGAATGGAACTTTATGCTTGTGTCTAGGAATAGGATCCATAATTTTTACAAATGTTCAAAAGGCACTTTTGATTTTTAAAAAGTTCCAAACTGTTGTATTGGGAGGTTTATGTAACAAAATCAAGGGAATAAGTACTAGGAATAGAGCACCCCATTACTCTGATAGAAGTCAGTAATCTGAAACGTGATTTTAATTTTGCAGAAACAATCAGGTATCAACCATAAAGAGAACCACAGTGTGCAATCTTGAAACATAGCAAGAAAGCAAAATATTGCAAGAATTATTTACTTGAAAATTATTTAAATGACTAATTCATTTAAGCTATGAAAAATAGTTTATAAAAAATAAGACACTTATAGTCAATGTGTCTAAAATAAAGTAAAAGTCAGAATTTACACAACTAAACTGAGAAGGACCTAATGTATGGAGTAATAAAATACAATCTTTGCTTTTGTATTCCTGTTAAGGGATAGCTAATATAATTATAGGCCAGTAAAATTTTCCTTCCTGAAAAACATTAGTGCATATTAGGGCAAATTGATTGTCTTTCCTGTTTTTTGAAATACAATAAAAACATCATTATATAAGTAGGTCACAATACTCTAGGGAGCTGCTCTTATCACTTACACTTGAAGGCCTTTAAAAGATGATGATAATGGGCCACTGCTGCAGATGCTGCTGCCCCACAGACACTGCTGCCATTCCAGAAGGTCTCTTCTCTGGGCACAGCCTTGGTTGGCTCAGTTACCTCAGACACTACTTCCATCGCTACCTCCGGGGTCTCTGCCGCTGAACTGGAAATCTTCTGTCAATCAACTTCCACCTGTACCACTACAGCCATTGCTGCTGCCTCTGATTCTGCTACTGCCAGCCTGAAGTTGCCTGGAGGTTTTCTTTCTGGATACTGCTTCCACAGAAGACACTTTTGCCCCAGATGCAACTGAAGCCAACACTGCTGCTGACCCCCAGATATTGCCTGGTGATGCTGTCCCCACAGCGGCAGTTGCAGCTGTAGCCACAACTGCTTTTGACTTGCTAGCTGCTTCCAACAACCACTGCCACTATCACTGCTACCATGGCCTAGAGGACTGTTTTGGAGGAGACTCCAGGTTTGGTTGCATGTGGCTGCACCCATTTGGGGACACCAGCCAGGGCATGAGGCCCAGGTGCCAACAGATTTACCACCACAAGAGCCTCTGACTGGGAACTCCAACCAGGACCTGCAGGTCTAGAGTGGGGATGCCTGTGGGTTTGAGGAGCCTGGGATCTTCCTGCTGAGAGTACTGGTTGCCCTTGTCTTGCTGCTCCATCTTGGAGTTGCTCCTTTGCATGAGTGTATCCCTAGTGGTCTCTCTGCAGTAGGAGCAGCATTGAGATCTTGGGACTGCAGCATGGATGAGCCTGAGGTATCTGAAGCCCAGATGGGTGGGATAGAGACTGGGTTTACAAGAGCTGATCTGGGTTTGGTAATCCTGAAAGATGTCAGAGACAGGGCTGAGAAACTGTTGAACACTGACAGAGACAGTTTGACTTTCCAGCAAGATTTATTTTATTTTATTTTTTGATTTGCTAATCTCTCTACCATATTTGGAACAGGATGTTTTTTATGCATCAGTGTGTGGAGGACAATGATATAAGAATGGTGTTTTGCATTTTTGTTGTATTCTAATGTCTTTAATTTTTTCTCTGTGTTCATATTCTTCCTCTCTCTTGTCTATTTTCTTGGATTTTCTTTCTAAATTTTCTCCAATCTCTGTCAGCTCCTCTTGCACTCTTCCTGTGAATTTTTACTTCTAGATTTTTTCTTCCTCCCTCACGAATATCGAATACTACACTACCTCTGTTCTCTCATCCAGCATTTGAAATTGTAAACCATTTTAACAAATTTTCTGTTTGTACTGTAGATACAAGAAAGCAGTAGACACCTTAGTGGGAGCTATTAAGATTAAGGCTGTATATCATGTAGACTGGGTGCTGTTAATATTGTTCTCACTATTAAAAGCGAAGTGCTAGAAACCTTTACGGACACTATTGAGTTTATACTGCCTTAGATCCATATTTCTAGTTGGGAAAATACACTAACAACATGAAAACTCAAGGGAATAAAGTGCCCCAAACAAATCAAGATGTTTCAACAACAGAAGCCACTGATAACATAGTAGAAGAAATGTCCAAAAAGGAGTTCAGATTGTACATAGTTAAACTGATATGTGAAGAAAAGGATAGTATAATGAGTGAAATCAAAGAAAAAATACAGGAAGTGAAAGGCCACTTCAATAAAGGGTTAGAGATTGTGAAAAAAAAAAAAAAACAACCAAGCAGAAATCCTCTAAATGAAGGAATCAGTAAGCCAAATTATAAATTCAATAGAAAGCCTCACCAACAGACTGGACTACTTAGAAGACAGAACCTCAGACGATGAAGACAAAATATATAATCTTGAAAGTAGAGTTCACCAGGCAGAGAAGATGATAAGATACCATGAACAGAACATCCAAGAATTATGGGATAAATGAAAAGACCAAATTTAAGAATCATCGGAATAGATGAAGGAGCAGAGATACAAACCAAACAATGCACACTCTTCTCAATGATATAATAGCTGAAAATTTCCCAAAGAATGGAATGGAAAATCAAATACAAGAGGTTTACAAGACCCCAAGTGTACAAAATTACAGCAGATCCATACCAAGACACATTATAATGAGAATGAGTAACAGAGAATAAAGATAAAATATTAAAGGCTGTGAGAGAAAAAAAATCAAATTACTTATGGGGAAAACCAATTTGGATCTCATCTAATTTCTCAACCCAGACCCTCAAAGCTAGGAGGTCCTGGAATAATATTTTTCAAGCTTTGAAAGAAAATGGATACCAACCAAGAATTTTATATCTAGCAAAATTGTTTCAGATTTGAAGATGAAATTAAAACCTTCCATGATCAACAAAAATTAAAAGAATTCACAACTAGAAAGCCTACACTACAGAGTATTATTGACAAAATATTCCATGAGAATGAATTGGAAAAAAAAAAAAGTGAAAACCAGCAAAGGGAGGATCTACACTAAAGGGACATTCAACCAAATGAGAAACTAAGATAAATCCAAAAACCAGAAATAAATCAAAATGACAGGGGATACAAATCATATCTCAGTAATAATCTTGAATGTGAACAGCCTAAACTCATCATCAAAAGACATAGGTTGGCAGATTAGATTAAAAAGCAAGACCAAAAAATATGCTGCCTTCAAGAGACTCACCTCATGGGCTGAGTGGATGCACAGGCTGAGGTGAAAGGATGGGAAAAAAACTTACCACTCATATGGACTGCCTGAACAATCAGGGTTTTCGATTCTCATCTCAGATAAACCAAAGTTAATCAGAAGAGACAAATAAGGACATTTCATACCTCTTAAGAGGAGTATATATAAGCAGGACATAACAATCATAAATATTTAAGCCCCAAACAATGGAGCATCTATGTACATCGAACAAACTCTTCTCAATTTCAAGAGTCAGATACACCACAATATAATAATACTGGGTGACTTTAATCCACCTCTCTCACTACTGGATAGATCTTCCAAACAAAACTAAATAATGAAACTAGAAGTAAATAATACAATTTCATCTGGCCCTAGCGAAAACGGCAATCAATCATCAATAATTCAAATAGTATCAGATGCTGGTGAGGATGTGAGGAAAAAGGATCCCTCACACACTGTCCATGGGATGTACAGTTACTATGGAAAATAGTTTCCTCAAGAAACTGAAAAATAGAACTACCAGGAGATCTAGCTGTACCAGTCCTGGGTATACACTTGAAGAAATTAAAGTTGGCACACTATAGAGACACCTGCATACCTGAGTTTATCACAGCACAATTCTCAAAAGCTAAGCCATGGAATCAGCTAAGGTGCCTGTCAATGGATGAATGATACAATGTGGTATCTATATAGAATGAAGTATTTTTCTGACACAAAGAACAAAATTATGCCATTTATGAAAAAATGGACAGAATTTGAGACCATGAAGTTGACAAAATAAGTCAAGCTCAGAAAAGTATCATGTTTTCTCTCCTATGGGAAGGAAGGAGGAGGAAAAAGAGAGAAAGAACATCATGATAGTAGAAGGGCAACCTTTAGGATGAATGATGCACAACAAGGGGAAAGAGGAAAAGAGGGTCAGGAGAGTATTTGGGGAGTGAAATTGACCAAATTGTGTTATATGCATGTAAGATTAGGCTACAATAAATCTGTTATCCTGTACCATTAATACACATAGATAAAAAATCTTTACAAGACTACTTTATCCTACTACCTTATCCTACCTTGAAGCTCTCAGAATAAATCTCATTGGATGTTGATGAATGTCTATAGCTCATTTGCTGATATTACATGCTATTTTTGCATTACATTCATAAATTAGTTATAATTTTTTAAAAAATGATGATGATGAGCCTATATTTGACATTTTCCTGTTTTAGTGAATCACCTCGAAAACATTTGGGTCCTGTATGGCAACTACAGTGGATAGAACAAGATCGAGGAACAACAGGTGATGACAAAAGAGAAATCCTAGTTTCTATATCAGCAGATGGAAGAATCTCCAAATGGGTTATACGAAAAGGATTGGACTGTCATGGTAATATATATATATATATATATATATATATATAAAAAAATAAATACACATATATTTTTAGCATAATATAGTATATAAATAGTATATGTCATATATAATATAAACATATATGTGATTCATATATAAATATATGTATATATTAATATATTTTGAAATATATTAAGATATAAACATTGCATTACCTTGTTTTGAAATGTATGGAATTAAAATATCCTAATGAACTAGTAATAATAAAACTGTTTGCTCATTGTTCTAATTTTTGCTAATTTTACCCTAATCACATGCAAAAGATGACAGAAATAATATTGTGGAGAAGATACACATGATGCTTGAACTATTTTTCATGTGATTAATGACAAATTATATTTTTTCCTTAAATAAAGACTTGATGCGATTGAGACGAACTACTGGTGGCATCAACAAGAAAGGAGGGGAAAAAGAGAAGAAAGGTGAAGCTTTGATATCTCGACAGGCTCCTGGAATGTGTTTTGCTTTTCATCCCAAGGTGAATTGTTTCAACCCATTGTTGACTATTGCATATAACAATTTCCAATAATTGAAATACATTAAGATATAAAATAAGACAAAATGTTGACATTCTAATAAATATTGTGCTTTGTACATGAAAAAATAAACATGGATATAGCTGTCAACCCTAAGTGGAATGGCATATTCTAGTTGGCTATATATACTATGCCCCTTACCTCCTTTTCCAGATAGAGGAGAGGTGTGCATTTCTGAGAAACTATGGAAGGATTCTCTTTACAAGTGTGTGATTAACAATGTCCTATCTTGCCCCTATTGGCCATTCTGCTACTCTGTTATGCTTATGTAACCCAAATCTATATAGTGCTCTGCATTTCAGTGGGAGTAACCACTTTCAGGACTGGGGAATTAGGAAGATCTCTTGAATTCATGTCTGTCAAGACCAGAGTCAAATCAGAGCATAGTTAATAAAGTTCTACTTTTTTTTCCAATTCTTCTTATCTGTAAGTACTTAGGGATCAGAAAATTCAGACACTTTTGATTTCTCAGAAAACAAATCCCATGTTCTCTGTTACATGTAATATGATCATCTTTTTAGTAACACCTCTACTTCACTATGCAAACAAAAATTGAGCTCTTTCTCTATTCTACCCTATTGTTCAAACAATATTTAAATCTTACTGTCCCTTCTTTTCCAGATCAAGGCTACTATTGTGAATGTAGTTCAGGCCTTTTTTATTTTTCACTTTTATACTGTAGCCATCTTCTTACTGACTTCATTCACAAATCCTGTAATACACCTTCATTTTGACTCTAGAAAACAGTAGTTCTCAACATGAGCAAGGAGAAGGGGGATTTTTCCTCCAGGGGACTTTTGTCATTGTCTGGACAAATTTTTGGTGGTTAAAACTTGCTGAGTGGGGTGAAGATAAAGAAGAATTACTGGCATCTAGTGGGCAGAGAACAGGGGTGCTGCTAAATATCCTACAATGTACCAATAACCAGCCTCCTCCTGTTTACCAGCAACTACCCAAACAAAAAATTATCTGACCCAGAATGTAAATAGTGCTGGGATGAGAGACCCTAGTCTGGTGTGTTAGAAATGCCATTTGCTAAGGAATTCCAGATGATCATGTGGTCTGAAAATAAAGACAGTTTTTTTTCTTCCTTTCTAATCTTGTTGCCTTTTATTTCTGTTTTCTTGCGTGATTACACTGGTTAGAACCTCCTGATACAATAATGAATAGAGGTGAGGAAAACAGACACAATCTTGTCTTATTCCTGATCTTAGGGGAAAAGCATTGAGTCCTTTACTGTTAAAGTATAAAACCTACTGAAGGGTTTTTGTAGATGCAGTTAATCATGTTGTAGAATTTCCATTACATTACTAGTTTGTGGAGAATTTTTATGAGGAATGGATATTGGATTTTGATAAATGCTTTTTCTGTTTCTATTCAGATGTTAATATATAAATTTTTTCTTCTTAAGCTTGTTAATATGATGAATTACATTAATTATTGTTTTTGAATGTTTATTCCTGGAATAAAACCCAGTTGATCATGACTTATAACCCTTTAAATATACTGTTTGATTCAATATGCTAAAATTTGTTGTGAAATTTTTGTATCTTTGTAAAAAAAATGGATATGAAGTTTTATTTTTATGTGTTTGATTTTGATATCACGGTAATACTGGCCCCACAGAATTCTTTTTTAAAAAAGGTTTAGCATAAAATAGCATAATTTCTTTATTATATTTTATTGCATTAATCAGTCATGTGGGCCTGGAATTTTCTTTATAGGGAAATTTTAAATTATAAATTCAAAATTTTAATTGTTATGGTTATCTGTTTCTTCCTGAGTGACTTTTAGGAATGTATGTGTTTTAAGGAATTTGCCTATTTATTTGTTGGCATAATAACAACCTAAATAATAACAACCTAATAACAACCATAATAACAACCTAAATCTTTGACCAGTCCTGTTTCCCTCTTGGAGGTTGTTTCTGAGACCACTCCTCAATAAACCTCTTGCATGAGATTTCAGAATTTATGTACTAGGCAACTGACCTTTTGATACTGACCTTGCAGTTTTAAATACTTACATATGCTACTGCATGTGTATCAAATTTTAATGTACATACAAATCACTTGGGAATCTTTTTAAGATGCAGATTCTGGTTAGTAGGTCTGGGGTAGAGCCTGAGAATTTGCAGGTCAGAAGTGCTCCCGCGTGATGACAATGTTGTTGGTCTATGACCATAACTCTGTATAGCCAGTACATTGAGTATTGACTTTCAGCCTTTTTAAAGACTTTTCATGACCCACTATGCACAGATGTTTTAAATCCCTATTGAGCATACATGTTTAATGTTCAAGAAGTCTGAGATGCCATCTGCTTCAACCTCTCATTCCCAGTAATTACAATTTCTTCAACATTGTATACATAAATATTTATGGTTGTCATCTCTTTTCTTTTGACTATCTCCAGTGAAAAAAGCAGTTATCATTTCCCTAGATTGTTAGCTCTATCATTAGGCAAATCTAAACATTAAGAAGTCTTTTCCTTATTTAAGTCAAAGTTTTTCCATGTAATTTTTTATGCCATTATACATGTACTTTTTTTGCATTACAATTTTTAGTACACATAAATATCACAATTTTTTCGTATCTCTGTTTGTATATAAGGTATGTTGACACCCAATTCAAGTCTTCATACATGTACTTTGTATAATGATGATCATCACATTCCACCATCCTTGCTAATCCCCTTCCCCCTCCCTTTCCCTCCCACCTCTCTTCCCTATCTCCATGTAATTTTTAAACAGGATATTTAAGTAATATCCTCTATTCTAGTACAGGATATATATATTTTTTCTTTTGTGCTGTAATATTTCCAGTAATTTCATTATTATAAATATATAACAGAAAGAAAAAGGCAATAGACAACTATATTGAATATTATTTTGTTTTTTTAATTGATTTCAATAGACCCTGAATTGTCCCACCTTCTATCTGTAGCACACTCACTAATATATCACAGGCCAATACATTTTGATTTCTTGTGTTGTAGGACACAAATATCTATTTGGCTGGCACTGAAGAAGGTCATATTCACAAGTGTTCTTGTTCATATAATGAACAATACCTAGAAACCTACAGAGGACATAAGGTTAGTTTAATTATAATAGGTATGGGAAATTTATTTTATAATATTTTTGCAAAAATAGTATTACATATAGTATATTTAACATGCGATAAATTTACAATTTGTAGTAAAAATAGTAGCTTGAATTAAGTGCTTTCTTAAAAAGCACCAATAATGTGTGATATATTTTATTTGACTTCTTGTTATCATTGATTTTTTTTCTTGCAAGTTATGGAAGTGACACTGTTCGTTTCTAAAAGACTTATGATACTATATTGATCCCAAAAACTGTCTCTTGCCCATACCTAATCTATATATTTATCATTTTTCAATTCACATTTCTTTCCTTTTCTCCTTCATTTCTCGATTTTCTTAATACTACTTGTTATTTTTTTAAAGAAAGTATAATATATTAATATTTAATGATACCATTGTATTTTTACATCTCTATATGGACTAATTAAGGGAGGATTAAATTTATGATATTATTCTTCTCAGCTTACATAATACCTATGCAATAATGGATGATGTTGAATATGCTAGAAATCTTAGTATTTTTAATTTGCCAGTCAAGTTTTAAATGTAAGTTATTAAGTATTATTTGCCAATGTATTTAATTTTCTGTTCCTAGGGCCCAGTGTATAAAGTAACATGGAACCCATTTTGTCATGATGTATTCTTAAGCTGTTCTGCAGATTGGGGTGTTATGATATGGCATCAGGAGAATCTCAAACCATTTTTGAGTTTTTATCCAACTACTCACGTTGTTTATGATGTTGCCTGGTCTCCAAAATCATCCTATATATTTGCAGCTGCTAATGAAAGCAGAGTGGAGATTTGGGACCTTCATATTAGCACGTAAGTTAATGTTTTCTTAAAGCTGTTTAAACTAATTGGTACCTGATAGTTATGACATCAGTTAAAGAGTATTATAGTTACTTTAAAACAAATAATAATAATTTACTTCACAGGAGTCCTTTATGAATAAAGACATATATGTCAAGATATGATATTAACATTGATTACTTATAACATGTATTTTTAAAGCATCTGAATGAAAATAGTTTACTCATTTTCTCAAACTTTTACARGCTGATATAGATTATCATAACTACCTTAAATTCTATTTATTGCTTAGTTTGTAGAAGAACCCAGGGAGTCATGCTTAATTTATTTTCCTATTTTAAAAAATTTGTTCTTTTTAGATATACATGACAATAGATTTATTTTGCCATATCATACATAGCATGCTTACATTTCTAACTAAGGATTTTCTGCAATAATATAAAGAAAGGAGACAAAATAATTATTTTTGCAATATTTATTTATTCTCTTACCTTATTTCAAAACTCTTCAAAAAGGATATGTACTTAATTTTTTTTTTGTTTAAGATGTTACACCAAGGATAATAGAAGGTCATCTAGATCCATCTATTCTTCTTAATATGAAAATTTTTACATGCTGGAATGAAAAGTTTAATGTTGCTATTTCCATTAGAAAGTATCATAAGTTTTTATGGAAATTAGCAGAAGGAGCACGAAAGTATATTTTGCTTAAAATAAATAATCTTATTCAGTGAGTCTATTCTTAATAGTAACAATTTTCTAGAAGTTAATAATTCAATAACTTAAAATTTTTGTCATAATTTGTTATATAAATCAGTATCAACCAAAAATCAAGGACTACATAACAAAATTAATTACTTTTGAGTAGGAGATAACTAACATTAAAAAGTAGCAATTTAAATGCTCTAAGCTCAGATTTTAATTTTTCTGGTAAAACTATGGTTCCCAGGACAACACTTATTTAGAAGCTACTTCTATTCTTTTTTTGAGGGCATGAATGGATTGTTTTTAATGACCAACACAAGAAAAAGGTCCTGTTCAGAATGTCCTCTTATGTTCCAGAGATTCATTTGGATTAATGCATTCCTCTGTTAAATATAAATGTTATTTAATAAGTTGTGTTAGTCAAGGCACTCTAGAGAAGCAGAACCAGCAGAATGATTGCCTTTGTCTCAATCACTTATCTTCATCTCCATATCTATATTAGATGTACCTTAAGGAATTGACTCAAACATTCATGGGTTCTAGCAAGTTTGTAGTCTGCTGGACAGTCTGGCAGGCTGGAATTTTTGTCAGGAATCCTGTTGCAGTGTTGAATCCAAAGAACATTCTGAGTGTGAAATAGTTATTTTGAGTTTGGAAAAACAGAGGCTTTTTCTTGTTATTGTTTGTTTATTTTAGTACCAGGATTGAACACAGGGTTGCTTTGCTACTGAACCACATTCCCAGCCCTTTTTATTTTTAAATAGGTTCTTGCTAAATTTTTTAGGGCCTTACTAAGTTGCTAAGGTATGGCCCTGAACTTGAGATCCTCCTGCCTCAGCCTCCCTGGTAACTGAGATTATGGGTGTGCACAAGAACACCTGTTGAGGCTTTTGAGGGTTTTTTTTTAACATGAAGTTAAAAAAAAGAAATATGGAACTTTTCTTAGTTTGTATGTTAACAAATACCATTTTAATATGACAACTGAATTTTTAAATAAAATGTTTCATTACAGTTTGGACCCTCTGATTGTGAATGTGGCTAACCCTGGAATCAAGTTCACAACTATTCTCTTTGCCAAACAAACAGATTGTCTTCTAGTGGGAGACAGTGATGGACAGGTCGCTGTGTATGAACTGAGAAATATGCCTACTGCTTTGGACTCTGGCCGAGTGAGACTCAATTTAATTTGTGTTTTATTAATCTATTCAGTTGTAACTTTGTAACATGCAATGGATATATCATTTTTAAGTATCTTTAGTGTACTGTAATGGAAAGGACATAGATTCCAAGAGTTGCTACCTAGTAGGCTTAGWTTTTCTGTCAGCCTTATTTTTTTTTAATTTTATTTTTTTTTATTGGTTGTTCACAACATTACAAAGCTATTGACATATCATATTTCATACATTAGATTGAAGTGGGTTATGAACTCCCAATTTTACCCCAAATGCAGATTGCAGAATCACGTCAGTTACACATCCACAGNGGGCGGGTGATCGGTCGTCAGTGAGTGGGCGTTCTCCTACCTCCCAGTTACGCGGGCAGTGGGTGAACTGTCGCCGGCGGGCCTGCGGTTTCCAGCCGCCCAGTCGCGAGGGCCTTGCCTCTAGTCCCCTGGTTGCTCCTGCTAGTCTTGGTTTCTCCTGCTAGACCAGATTTCCCCTGAGTGATGGTTCTCCGCAGTTCAAACTGTACTCTGGACCTGCCGTTCGTTGGGTGTGGAGGGTGACTATTGAGAACCTCGGCACTCTATTGTTTTGTTTCCGTTGTGGGGGATAGAACTGTAAAGCTTCCTTCCCCTTCTGTAATCCCGTACTCAGCCCGGGGGTCAGTGCGGGCTTGGCTGGCGGGATTCCACAGAATCACAGCCACTTTTCTCCCTGCTTGCTAATTAATCGCTTCTCTGCAGCGCCAAGCCTTCTGTAGCTGCGGGGCAGGCCTCAAGAATCAGTCGGCCTGGATCTCCGGGGTCCCACAGTTGACTATTGGGATCCCCGGCACTCTGCATTATTTTCTTTTTCTGTTCATATCCCTCAAATCCTAAATGGAGCCTCAAGGCTTAAATATCTCTCTCTCTCTCTCTCTCTCTCTCTCTCTCTCTCTTTCTCAATTTCATGATTCTTTTGGTTCTATTTCACAAGAATTCTAAGAACTGGTCCACAAACTCTGAACTTGGGGTGGTAAAAAGGGTGTTTATACTGTTTAAAATGTTTATTAATGTATGCTATGCATAGTGGTGGAAGAGATACCTGTGAGTATTAGCATGTTGATTCATTTCTTGTCATTATATATAACTGACATTGATATTTTATACATACAGGATGTGATTCTCTAGCATCACTGGCTTCCATAGTATTTGAATTTTCTGTGTTATTGAAATACTGTCCAAAGAGGCTCTTATAATTTATATATTCCCATTACCCTTGTCTCAGAGTTTCTAATTCTCTCTAGCTTTGCTAGAACTCGATATTGGCTAATACTTTAATTTTTATCAATTCAATCAATGTGAACTAGTAGCTTATGTAATTTCAGTTGCATATTTCTTCATTATCAGTGAGAATGAATGTTGCTTCATAAATTTTTTGATCTTGTATTTTCCTTTTCTGTGAATTCCTGTTTTACAATTTTATCATTGTAAAAAATTGGTTGACTTTTTCTACAAGTTAGTAATGTAGATTTTAATAATCATTTTAAGTGAGATTTTGAAACAGTTAAATTTTGTTAATGTGGTTTATATAAACAATGTAATTTTATTCAGCCATAAAAATGAATTAAAAAATATCATTTCAGGAAAATGGATGGAACTGGAGAGCATCATGTTGAGAAAAATAGGCCACATTCAAATAAAAAGGGTTGTATTTTTCTCTTGCATGTGGAAACTGGCAGGGGTGGGCTGGGGGGGATCTTAAAAAATAGAAGGAGACCCATGGACTAGAGGAAGAAAATCAGGTGGAAGGAGGAGGGAGGAGCAAAAGGGGAATTTAAAATATTGGATTTTAAGTACTTCAGTTGTTTTATAGACAATCAAATCTTAATTATTTAAAGTAATCTTATTAATGTCATAAATTAAAAAATTGAAATATGACAAATTTTAAATTTTCTTTAATATTCCAATGCTTTTTTTATTTTTTTAATGTTTATTTTTTAGTTGTAGTTAAACACAATATCTTTGTTTTACTTATTTATTTTTATGTGGTGCTGAGCATGAAACCCAAGTTGTCACACGTGCAGGCGAGCACTCTACCTCTGAGGCACAATCCCAGCCCCTAATGTTCCAATGCTTTTTTTAAGTTAATTAACATAAATTTAAATCTATATTTACTAGTCTATATTCAGTTACAAATTTGTGTAAAAATCAAATTTTAATGTTAATATCTAATATGAAAATTTCTCATATATAATAAATAAAATATGAATATATAAAAATTTCTTAACACAAAATATTAAAACTATCAAAACTACCTCTTTCATTTGCTACATGATTTCTATACAAATGCTTATTCTGTGGATAAAAAAAAGAATAACATTACAAGTACTTTTGGAAATTATTATCTCAGATAACTGAGATACATATGAGATAGACATGCTAGGACAAAATGGCAGATAAACAGGAAGAAGCTTTTTTCACAGCTTCATGACTCGGGACTCAAGTAGCTAGAAAACTACTTCTCTGTGAGGTGAATGAAAAAAGCACTCCACTATATTCAGTATTGGACAGAGAGCCTTGAAGAGTGGGAAATGTAGGTACATCAGAAAAGGTTAAAGAATAGATATGGAGCTGAGCTTCTGGCAGGAACAGGGAAAATTAACACACAAGGTTGGAAAAGACTAAAAAGTGCTAGGAAAGTCTTGGTGTGGGGAGTCCCAGGAGCAGAAGGCCAGCCTGTCCTGAACCCAGAATATTTGGCTTATTAAACTGGTGCACTAAAGTCACATGAGTCTGCCTGCTGTGCACAGGGAACCCAAGCTGAAGACATTGGTACCTCCAAGCATGCGACAACAGCACCAACTCACACTAGGAACTTAGAGCCTTGAGTTCAGGGCTGAGTCACATGAATCCAAGCTGAAGACATTGGTACCTCCAAGCATGCGACAACAGCACCAACTCACACTAGGAACTTAGATCCTTGAGTTCAGGGCTGAGTCACATGAATCCAGCAGACGCTAACCGTGAGATCTAAAATGAGTCTAGTAAATCAGGATAATCTCCGTCACAAAGAATTTTTGGCATAGAGTCCATTTTGTCTAGGGATAATACAGATCAGAGACGCCTGGAGAAAGCCTGCCCTCCCCGCTCCCTTGAACCTGGCAGCGCGCAGAATCAGGGAGAATCTGAATGGGCTGAGTGACTGAGCTCAGTGCTAAACAACCCTTGGGAAGCCAAAAAGGGCAGTATCTCCAAACAACAGGATGGGCGTAGTACTGACTCTCCTTCCCATGACTGGTGCCCTGGGGAGAGTGGTGGGGTACAGGCCTAGGTGTGTATTGATTCATTAAGGCCCGATAACTCCCCAAGCAATAAAACACCTGGAGCAGTATGAGACCTAAGCCCCACCCCTGAGAGCTTCACTTGCAGAAACTTGTCTTATAGAACCCAACAGCAGCTATTCCCTGRAAGGGAAGCCAAAAGTATTTTCCACAGCTCCTTACACCACCCTGCTGAGAAGGGAAACTGAGAAATGTAAAGACAGTTTGGCATAGATAGTGTGCATATACTCTCATTGACTATTCTGTTATTTTATTTTGTTTTTGAATGTGTACTAATTCATACATGGTGAACATTTATACATTTATACACATGTATATTTGTTTCTGCTTTTTCATTTTTAGCACTTCTTTAAGGCAGTTATTTTTCCGTGCTCTGTTTTTTTTTTTTTTTGAGGGTTAGGATTTTGATTACTATATTTTGGATTGATTTTTTATTGTCTGTTTCACTGTTTCTCTTTGTTTCTTAACAGCCAAATTCTATTGTTCTCACTTTCACTCTTCCTTTAATTCTTTTACTCCCCTGTTTCTCCCTAATAAACACATCCTACATTGCTTCTTCATTTACCCTCTTCACCTATTGAAATCTTATTCTACCCTGCCCCACTTCTTCATCTTTGCTCTTAATTCACTCTATCTTTAACTGGCTACTTACACATATTCATATCTGTTTATTTTTTCTTGTTTCTATTTTTTCTAAACTTATTTTCCATGAGTCAGTATTTAAAGGGCTAACATGTTTGATGAGTATATATCAATTTTGTTCTTATATTCTTTTATGTCTTTATTTTAATTTAATTTTTATTTTATACATATTTTTCCTCTCACTTACCTGCTTCCCTTGAATCTTCTCTTTTCCTCTGCCAACAGTCAATCTCTGTTGATTTACTTTTTCTTTAATGTTTTGCTTCTATTTTCTCTCCTCCTCCCTCATAATCATCACATCCTACATCACTTCTGTTCTATCCCTTTCCACTACATGAAAGTGTAAATCTTTTTGAAAACTTACTGTTTATACCATGGGCAATAACTGTTGATATAATTTCTGATTATTGTGACAATCAACAGTGTAGATTACATAACAAAAACTGTTTGGTTTAATGATGTAAGTTATTTGCATTGGCTGTTGTTTGTATCTGTCTCTTGCTTAGCTGTGAGGTACTAGAATAATAATTCATTAATTAATTAATTGGGACACTATTAAGTCCACAGGGTAGAAACTCTACTGCCTCAAAACCAATGCTAGATGGTTAAACACACAAATAAAATGAAAAAGCAAGGGAACAAATCACCCAAACTAACCAAAATACAGAATCCATTGACACCACAGTGGAAGAAATGTTAAGAAAATGAGTTTAGAATGCTCATAATTAAATTGATCTGTGAGGTAAAGGACAATGTAAGGGAGAAAATATAGGAAGCAAAAGGTCACTTCAATAAAAATATAAATATAGAGATTCTGGGGAAAAAAACAGAAATCCTCAAAATGGAAGAATCAATAAATCAAATTAAAAATTCAATTGAAAGCATCACCAACAGACTAGACCACTTAGAAGACAGAATTTCATGCAATGAACACAAAATATATAATCTTGAAAACAAGATTGACCATGGAGAAAAGATGTTAAGAAAACATGAACATGAACAGAACTTCTCAGAAATATGGGATAACCTGAAAAGATCAAAT